AACCCACGGGTACCCACGGGGCGGGTTCGGGCGGGTACCCACGGGGACGGGTTAGATTGCCATGCCTATGCCCAACTGAAGCTTAAGCCTCATCACCAACATCCTCGTGCTGATGATCATCTGCAACACAACTTAAACATGTACAAAGAACAACAAGGGAGTGAGAAATACTCACTCGATTCCAGGTGTAGAAATAACAGTTAGGAAACACACACACGAATCATAACAATCACAGCCATAGCTACACAATATTCAGGTGCAAATTCAAATTATACATACAATAGTAACACATGCACAATCATTCATCATGCTATGATCTCATGGACTCAACTCATAAATGCATGTGACGCCAGTCACGTGTCTCATAATCACATTTCTCATCATTTCATCACTGGTAACTCAAGGTACACTTTGTTAACTTGTTACATCACTTGGTGACACAAGGTACACCTGTTACATCACTTGGTGACCAAAACACTACAAGAAAATGACGATTTTGCGACAGTTATATGGCCTACATTGCGACGGTTAGAACTGCCGCAAAGACAACATTGGGACGGTTTGGGAGCCGTCGCAGAATTATCCGTCACCAGGAAATTTTGCGACGGTTATCAGAACCGTTGACCCGAGCTGGCCGGGCGAATGGTCGCTTGGTCTATAGAGCTGTCGCAATTTGACATTCATTTTGAACCAAGGGGGCCCATCAAGGCACAAAGCATGGCCGATTTCATTAACGAATTCACCCCGGAAGCACTCACTGAAGCAGAAGGAACGATCATCACTCTATACGCAGATCAAAAAACAGCGCATGAGTGTTACTTCGCCAGCCTTAGAGTTCAACCCACTCCAAGAACGACCCGAGATGTCAATGTCATAGGCGACGTCAACCTACACAGGCCGGTCGATGATTTGGAACTAGATCCTAGGTTAGAAGATGAAGTCAGGGTCGAACCAATTGAAACAACGATTCCATTTCAACTGGGAAAGAATGAAGAACAAGTCACTTACCTGAGTTCTCAATTAAAAGAAACCGACGCCGAGGACATTAAACAAGTTCTACGGAAATACTCGGACTTGTTCGCCTGGACAGCGGCTGACATGCCAGGAATCGACCCAAACTTCCACTGCCATCGGCTCTCGGTCTGCCGAGATGCCAAACCCATTGCATAGAAGAAGAGAAAAATGGGGGGAGACAGGGCCCAAGCGGTAAAGGAAGAAACGGCCAAGTTACTACAAGCCGGGTTCATCAGAGAAATCAAGTACTCCACCTGGCTAGCCAATGTAGTGATGGTCAAAAAGGCGAATAAAAAGTGGCGGATGTGTACAGACTACACGGATCTCAACAAAGCATGCCCCAAGGATGCTTATCCCCTTCCACACATCGACACATTAGTCGATGGAGCCGCGAGCCATCAAAGGCTAAGTTTTCTATATGCCTACTCAGGGTACAACCAGATACCCATGTACCCCCCAGACGAAGGGAAAACCGCATTCATCACGGACTCAGCCAACTTTTGCTACAAGGTAATGTCGTTCGGGTTGAGAAACGCGACTTATCAACGACTCATGGATAAAATCTTCCGACGTCAAATAGGGACATGCATGGAAATATACGTGGACGACATGGTAATCAAGTCCGTTTCCGCCAGTAATCACTTAGAGGATCTCATGGCAGTGTTTGACGAAGTAAGACGGTATCACATGCGGCTAAACCCGGCGAAGTGCACCTTCGGAGTCGCTGGCAGAAAATTCCTAGGCTTCATGTTATCAAAGAGAGGCATAGAGGCCAACCCAGACAAGTGTCAGGCCATCGTCAACATGAGAAGCCCGTGCAACGTGAAGGAAGTACAACGACTAGCTGGACGCATAGCGTCATTAGCCCGTTTTCTGCCATGTATGGCCGAGAAGTCAAGACCCATAATGACTTTGCTAAAAAAAGCCAGAAAATTCCAATGGACGGAAGAATGCGAGGCCTCCTTCCAAAAACTTCAAAGCAATACTCACAGCACCGCCTTTGCTCGCGAAACCCAACTCCCAGTTAGACATGATCATATACCTTTCTGTATCAGACAAAGCTATCAGCGCAGCCCTAGTGCAACAACAAACTGAACAAATGCCTGTCTATTTTGTCAGCCGCGTCCTGCAAGACGCCGAAACTCGGTACCAACATCTTGTGAAGACGGTCTTAGCGCTCGTACACACAGCCAGACGTCTTCGTCATTACTTCCAAAGCCATCGAATCGTCATCAGGACTGACTACCCAATTGTGAAAGTACTACGGAAACCCGAGCTGGCCGGGCGAATGGTCGCTTGGTCTATAGAGCTGTCGCAATTTGACATTCATTTTGAACCAAGGGGGCCCATCAAGGCACAAAGCATGGCCGATTTCATTAACGAATTCACCCCGGAAGCACTCACTGAACCGGCTGTTTGGACTCTCCATGTTGACGGGTCGTCAAATCAACAAGGTAGCGGAGCT